GCGGCTTAATGATAATCCATAACTACTCATCGTCAAGAGATAACGTTTCCGAAGCATCCTAGAGGGCAAGCCAACCCGGATATAAGCAGTTTACGAGCGATACAATGCATAATTGTAGTCGGATAATTATACTTGCACGTACAGTGGACATCGCGTGATAGTAATCACGTCGGATAGCAGAAGCGAGGTATACAGAATACTCGATTCTCGCTAATTGTATTAAAACGAGCTGTTAATAACGGCGAACGGCCATTATTAATTAATAATAATTATTTATCTTGTAAAATTCAATTAGTGTGATTAAGCCTCCTGGAAATCTATCAATTTTTTGATATACAGTAAATTCTCCCTAATTGACCTGAAAACATAAATGGACAATTTGGAAGGAGGAAGTGCGATTATTGCAGTTTAATAGTTGTTGACAATCGATAACTATAGAAACGAGCTGCAAGGCTCGAATAATCCTATCTCCTCAAAATTGTCCCCCCATTTCCCATTTTAGTCAATTAAGGAGAATTAGGGGAGGATTCTCTTACAATTCTAAATGGGTCCATTTTAAAGTGCGATGTTTCAATTTTCAAGCCCCCTAATGTCTTCAAACTGTAAAATAAAATTAAACTAATAAAAAAGAAATTAAATTAAAATTAATAAAATTAAAATGTAAAATAATAAAATAATAAAATAATAATGTTTTAAATTTTATACAAACATTATTATATTGAATAACAGCGATCAGAAGTCTCGATTTTTACTAATAACAATACCCTCGTCATCGGTGCATTGATTTTCAGGTCGGTAATGCAGTCCACTTGTGCGATAAAGTGTTACATCACGTTCAATCTAGTCCGCTAACAATACATTTTATTACAGTAAGTTTACATTAACGTTCCATGTACTGCATAAATACGCCGCGAATTCTTCTCATTTTATAAATAAATTTCGTATCCCCTTACTTTACATCCGATGGTAACGCTCCTCCTCGCTACCCAATTTATCGTACACAATAACGATGGAATCTGCAACGATCTCCAGATTCATCATAAAAAACCGTCGAAATATATATTTTTCATTTGCTTATGGAAAATAACGTTCCAACGAGTCGACAATTATCTGAAACATTCCCGACTCGAACCTAATCATCCGCTGGCTCATTCTAATTATCGACCGCTGCAGCGTCGAGTGCAAAACGCCCACCCCTTCCGTTCATCGCGATTCCACATTACATACAAAATACAGCTTTTTAGAATCAAGGGATGTAACAAAAAAAAATTCACCGAAGTCCAAATCATCGGCTGTCCAAATCGATCGGAGAAAAGTTGTCCAATTCGAAAAGTTCGAAAACTTTGAAGAGTCGCCCTTTCGAAAACTTTGAAAGAGCCGTACATTCGGCACGATTTGCCGACAGGATTAAAAAGTATCGCACACCGCGAACGAAACTCGGGCTGCTCGCATAAGAAATAATGGACGCGCCCGTGTCACGTAGTCGAACTTCTTTCGAATCAAAGTGTAACACGTACGAGCACCGTTAAGGGATGCGCTCCGGCGGCGCGGCGGTGTCTGTGCATTGACAATTTACCATCCCTTCTTTCTCCTGGAAACCGCAGTATACACCCCCATCGTGTCGATTCCCGACGCGCCCCCCACCCTCGCCGCGAGAAGAACTGACGACGTAGCGTTTCAACGACAAATGGCATCGCGCCCCTAACAGCCACCTACGACGTTGGTCTAATCTCGTTGCAGCGGTTGGTCGTTCCGGTTCTCGCACTTTCCCCTCGTCGAATGAGCGTGCCGGTAACGCCCATCACCCCTTGCTACATAGATCCGCACCCCGTCGCCGTCTCAGGGGTGGAGTCGACCAATGACACGGTGGTAACGCTCGTCTGACAACGTGGCCTTCGGAGCCGCCCCCGCATTTCCCGTGGCTAACTAGCACTACCCCACTATAGTCGCGTCAGCCACTCAGCCAGCAAGTCCCCGGGCCGTCTAGTCGCCCGTTGGAATTCCCCACCCTTTCTCCCTGTCACCTTTCTCTGGCTCCTCTTCATCTATCCTACCTCTTCTAGGCCAACGTACCAGAGGCCGCGTCGAAGAAGCGGCGTACATCGCGCGATAGCCTGACTAAAGCTCTACCTAGCGATGGCTTAGAGCCTCGTGTTCAAGTTGTTCGCGCCGAGGTATTTATAAGCTTCTTTACTTTCGACGGTGGTCCGACACGAGGAACGCCGTTACGATCCGCGACCAAATTAACGCTTCAATGGGCCGCGCGTCTACGCGCGATCGGAAGTCGTCTCAGGGGCTGGAAATATTTATGTAAATTCGTGAATTAATTCTACACGCGCGAATGTACACATAAAAAACAACAACAGTAATGATAATACATTTAATACAACAAATTTAATGTTTTTCCTTTGTGCGATGATTATTAAAGCAATCGCTAATTATTGAAGCATCGCGCACGTGTTGTGTGAGCGGTCATTAAAGTGTTAATAAAAAGAAAGTTGTGGTAATGTAGAGCTATGTCGAGGTTAGAATGAAAATAGTAAAAATAGTGTAATAGTAATAAAGTACTGAATATAATATATATATATATATATATATATAAAGTACTGAATATAATAGAATAATAAAGAATATATATATATATATATATATATATATTCTTTATTATTCTATTATATTCAGTACTTTATATATATATATATATATATATATCATAGAATAATACAATCAGAGGAAATCATTTTATTATATATATATAAAGTACTGAATATAATCTGTCTCTTATACACATCTAGATGTGTATAAGAGACAGATATATATATTATATTCAGTACTTTATATATATATATATCTATCTATATATATGTATATCATAGAATAATACAATCAGAGGAAATCATTTTATTATATATATATAAAGTACTGAATATAATCTGTCTCTTATACACATCTAGATGTGTATAAGAGACAGATATATATATTATATTCAGTACTTTATATATATATATATCTATCTATATATATGTATATCATAGAATAATACAATCAGAGGAAATCATTTTATTATATATATATAAAGTACTGAATATAATCTGTCTCTTATACACATCTAGATGTGTATAAGAGACAGATATATATATTATATTCAGTACTTTATATATATATATATCTATCTATATATATGTATATCATAGAATAATACAATCAGAGGAAATCATTTTATTATATATATATAAAGTACTGAATATAATCTGTCTCTTATACACATCTAGATGTGTATAAGAGACAGATATATATATTATATTCAGTACTTTATATATATATATATCTATCTATATATATGTATATCATAGAATAATACAATCAGAGGAAATCATTTTATTATATATATATAAAGTACTGAATATAATCTGTCTCTTATACACATCTAGATGTGTATAAGAGACAGATATATATATTATATTCAGTACTTTATATATATATATATCTATCTATATATATGTATATCATAGAATAATACAATCAGAGGAAATCATTTTATTATATATATATAAAGTACTGAATATAATCTGTCTCTTATACACATCTAGATGTGTATAAGAGACAGATATATATATTATATTCAGTACTTTATATATATATATATCTATCTATATATATGTATATCATAGAATAATACAATCAGAGGAAATCATTTTATTATATATATATAAAGTACTGAATATAATCTGTCTCTTATACACATCTAGATGTGTATAAGAGACAGATATATATATTATATTCAGTACTTTATATATATATATATCTATCTATATATATGTATATCATAGAATAATACAATCAGAGGAAATCATTTTATTATATATATATAAAGTACTGAATATAATAGAATAATAAAGAATATATATATATATAGATATATATATATATATCTATCTATATATATGTATATCATAGAATAATACAATCAGAGGAAATCATTTTATTGCGTCGATGAACCAATTTGAGGAAAACTTTCAGTAATAATGAAGTAATGGTTTCAACATCGATTAGCGAATGCTATCGACATCGTCGTCCACGAGTTTCATATAAATAAGGAAAACTTCGTGCCAGCCTATCAGAATTTAAATGATACGCCATCGAAGACGAGATAGCCCGTTTTCCTCCGACTCTTTCATAATTTCATTTTTAATTTCATCGAGTTTATTTAAATCGAACAGGAAACATTTGTTTCAATGATGTATTTTATTCGAAAGATATTACTATCAAAGATATCACTATTAAAGATATTTGCACTATTTAGTTATTTGCACTCCACACGTCAGAGTGAATACAATTTTTTTAAAATCATAAATTATAAATTATATTAATTTACATAATATAATTTACATATATTATATACAATTTTCTTAAAATTTATAGATAAATAAATAAAAAGTATATAATATAATATAACGTATCTACACAAATTAACAACTAATCTACAATTCTTACAAAGTCTCGAATATACTCCAACGTGTAAAACGAGATTTAAAAAGTCTCGATATACAGGGTGTCCCAAATTTTCCAGCCGAACGGTATCACAGCCTACCCAACCAACACAAATAAGAGGAAAGCGTCACGCGAACCGAGAAACGCTTTACTTCAAAAGCTCGCAAGAAAATCAGTCTAACGATCCCTAAACATTTGACAACTCAGCGGCGCCTGAATCGCCGGGTATACACCGGGTCACCGGGATTCCGAAGGATCAGCGCACGATCGGGCAACACGAGGTGTTCGCCGCCATCGCTAGCTATCGCGTCGAAGTCATGGCTACGCCGACTTGTGGCCGTTTAGAAAGTGCTGTAGGTGTGCGAGGCGTCGCCCACACCCCGGTCGCGAGGCGACGCGAGGCGACGCGCGGCGCGGCGCCGCGTGCCCACCCCCTTGGGTTAGGTGGCACGTCGAGCGTGGTGAAGAACGACCCGTGATTCCACGTAGTATGGCCACGGTCAGGAGAGATGGGTAATTCCGACAGCCAGTCGGGCAGCGGTCCTATACATGCGTAGAACCGTTGGTAGAGACAGAGAGACGGGTCCCTCGTGCATACACTGACACACCAGCCGGCAACATGAACGCGGTCGCGGGTACGCCCTTCCCGGCGAGATGAGTAGGTACGCCGAGGCTCGAAGCCACCCCGTCACGGAGAACGCTTCGGGACTTCGCGCGACTCCCTCGGCGTCGTGTCGGAACGACCACCAGCCCGGTTGCCCGTCTGGGGATGCTCGACTTTTGATCAGCCGCGAAGGATGGGCGCAGGTCAGTTCGATAAGGCGCGTCTCTTGCTTATATTGTCAACGGTATATAGGTGTGCTTCCGGTAACCCCCCCGTTCGGCATGTGCTCACAGTGTACAGTGATTCGCGGCTAGGCTAAACGCTCCTAATCGTCGGACGCCCGAAAGCTCCGCGAAAGCTCCGCGAAAGCTCCGCGAAAGCTTCGCGAAAGCGCGCGACTCTCTTTCTCCCCCTTTTTCTGCTTCTTCTTCTTTCTTTCTGCCGCCGCGGCGATCGCCGTCGAAATCGACCGCTGTCTCTCCGATCAGATTATACCGAATCGTGCGGTTCTATTCGTCGTCTTCGAAGTGAATGGTGCCGGGACGATCCCTTCGTCGAATCGCATCGTTGGAACCGCGCGTTCGTTTCCGAGCCACTCTCGGTCAGTGAATTCCGCGACGGAACGTTTTTTCCGTCGCGATCGGTGCTCGTACGACGCGACGAACGGGACGTTTTTCATATTTTCACGCGTTCCTTTGCGCGCAGAAAGAGAAGCGACGGCTGTCATGGGCGGGAGCGTGTGACTATGTTAGTTTTTTAGGCCGCTGATCGGTCGTTCAAGCCGCAGAGTAACGGGCGACTAGTGCTGGCACACTCAAAGACGTGTTCGAACTTGCGTGAATTCGCCCGACCACGCATGTTTCTATCACGAAGAAATGCTTAGTGTTGCACCGGAGTTCACCGTGTCTTGCGAACCCGTGACCGGGCATCGCGAAGTACGAGAGACTCCGAGATATTTCATTTCTTCCTGGGGATTTATTTTTCACCGCACGTGCGTTAACGTTGCGCCGTTGCGGTCGCCTTTAGCGGTTTCGGATGAAGTATGCGAATAGTGTCTTTCGAGATCGGTCGCAATGGCGTTCGTAATCGCTTCGTTCTCTCCCTGACGTGTTACATCGCGACGTCGATACTGTTTGCTTAAGGTTTTTGGCGAGATATCTTGCGGCGTAATGACGCTTGTGCGACGCGATGCCGTTCGTGCGGTGCCGCGGACGGCACTCCGCGGAGTAAACTTTAAATCGAGAGCTTTAATTCGAGGGCTTTAATTCGGAAAAGTTTGGCTCCGTTGACAGAACATAGATGCAAGCGAAATGGACGCACAGACGGTGCGAAAACGGAAGCGCGTGTTTACTCGTCCGCGGCGCCGCACGAACGGTATTATGTCGCAGGGTAGCACGTCCGTGGCATCGCACAAGCGGTATTATGTGGCGAGATATGTCGTCTATGACTTTTTTTTCTATGATTTTCGTAGTGCAGCATCGCTGTCACGACGTAACACGTTCATTAGAGCGAAACGTTTAATGACAATTTATAATCAGAAGAGAAAAGTTCTATTGCATTGAATCGTGGCGACGCTGGGAACGGGTTAATCGAATTTGTAAACGCGGAGAACATTGTTCGTGGTGCAGAAAATGATAAGATGCATTTTTAGGATACAGGGCAGTGAAATATTGAGCGGATAGAGCGACGTAACTGTTCACCTATCGACCGAAATAGGAGACGCATGAACGAGATTTTCGTAGCTCGAGGAGTGCCTCTTCGTTCAACGTTTCCATTTTCGACTCGAAAATTGCATTTTTTGAGTTGAGTGATTTTTGCAATGAGAATGCGACGCACCGCGCGTCAAATTTCAGGCCGAAATTTTGGTTTTCGTCGAACTCGCAGCTTTAGGCTCTTTGTTAGGCTCTTAGTATTATCTCTTACGTCTGAATATGTTTTCGAAACATTGGTGCTAAAATACTGTTTATTTGAAATATGTTTTGAATGATTTTTAAGGATTTTTTTAAAATGATTTTTCTACTCCGTGCTATTATTCTCCGATAAATCGGATACCGCTTTTATGTACGCTTCATCGCATTCGGAAATAAATAGTTTCGCAGCCACAGCTTCAACAAATTGTTTCGATCGTGCATTGTTTCGAACATTTGCATTATTTAGCAGGCTGTGCAAGCTGTCGTTGTTATTTCCTCCATTCGAGGGGAACTGTAATTTTGGTTACAGCTAGGCTGCGGATCTTTGTGCAAATTCTGATTTTCATACGTTATTTAACCCCTTAACGCGCAGAAACGTATTAACACGGGCGTGCAAAACCGGCCAAAATGTGCAGACCCGTATATATACGGTCGGCGTCGCAACTTATGTCGCTAAAATGTTCAGATTCGAATATATGAAAAACAGTACGATGGGTACAAAATTCGATCTGCAATGCGATTCAATATTCACTATAATTATTTATCCACTATTTTTATTGAATTTTTAGTAATTTTTGCATTTTTTAAAAATATTTATTGAAATTAAGGTCCAAATATGTATTTTCTTAGATAAAAAAAATTGATTTTTTTTGGTCT